GAGGCTACAGTTGTAGCTTTCTGATTTGATATTGCATATGCCTCAGGCCACTTGGTGAAATAATCCATCACCACACATATGTACCTGTTTCTAGCATGAGTTTGGAGCAAAGGACCAGCAATGTCAATGGCTACTCTTTCCATTGGTGCGCCAACTTAATATAACTTCATTGGAGCATATAGGGAGGTGTGACAAGAGGTGTCTGATTTTCTATTTGATGGCTCTGTAACCAAAGAAAATTGAAGGCTATGAAAACAGTTCTTTATCTGATTGGTGGCAATATTATAATAAGTAATTTGTTTAATTTTGTTCTTCTTGGAGGGGTGGTAAATAAATTTGAAAAGAGGGGATGCCTTGAGAAAAAATATCACATTTCTCACACTAGGGGAAATTCAAGATCTTTTTTTTTAATAGTGCCTTATAAAATTAAGAACTTAAAACTTGTATGCTGTTAAAATATGTATTATTAGCTACGATTTTATGCTCTACTAGTATAACACGAACAAACAAAAAGTAGTTTAATTAAATTTTGAATGTAACTCGCCAAAAACCTCATGACATGCACAGTAAAGGATGTCGTGGTGAGAGGGGTAATTACTACTAAAAAGTCACTAGACATTTTCTCCTTCAAAAAGCCAAGGAGACCACACTGTGAAGAGTGATGAGGTCTCACAAAAAATGAAATAAAATAGATTAGTTTGAAAAATGATTTGTGCCAAATTTGTTCAGTTGCAATATATTTAAGTCGCTTCTTTGTCTAGTTGATCGATTGTTGCACTATTTTGTGATGGCTGAGGTGTTTGTTATTTCCTGCAGTTTGAAGTTTTACTTTATATACCAGGAAATATTTTGTTCATGAAATGCCATCTATGGTAAATTAAATATTAACCTATTATGCCAACTTTATTGAATTGATGAACATTCTTATTTAATAAAGCAATCATTTCAATCTACTAATGTGCAGTCAACAAGGTATTGTTGCGTCAGCGAGTCACATGATTACAGTGACGCAACGTTTCTAGAATTATCATGTACTTTGGCGAAT